AAATTTATTTTAATATAAAAATTCATAAAATGTTGCAACTTAAGTTGCAACTAGTTAAAAATTTTAAAAATAATTATAGGAACCATCTTTAGTTCATACTTTTCTGGCAATTCTTCTAATGATCGGTCAAGTAAACTGGATATTGAAAGCAGAGATATATTCATATTTTTATCATCTATATTAATATCAAGATTATGGGAATCTATAAAAAAACTATTAATATAAGCTAATCTAAAATTTTGTAAAACTAATCTAGAAGAATCAGATTCTAAAACTAAACTACTAACTAATTTATAGAAATTGAGGATATTATTTTTTTTAAAAAAATTGTTTTTGTAGCACAGTCTATTTACTAGTTCCTTCCAATTAATCAAAGATGATCCTTCGTTATTCAGAAATTGATCAAGAAATAAAAGAGAAAACTTGTTGATGATGTATAATGTTTAACCAAAGTAGCTTGAGGTAAGATGGAATCTAATGAGATTGAACTGCCTTTAAATTTAATTTCTGAGGTTCTTATGAACATGAAATGAAATTTCTAATCCATTTTATTTGAGAAGACTAAGTATTATACCAATGAGATTATGAGAGGATTTGTTGTTAATAGGTAAACTCCATTTAATTAAAGGTAAAACGTGTAGACCATTGTTTAATTGTAATCTAAATAATCTGATCCTGGAAATATCATTATAAATGGCTTTGAAGTTGAATTGATACAAAAAAGCAGTTGAAAATGCTTGCATCTGCTGATTCCATAGATCATGTAAATTATAAAAGTTGTTTTCTTTAAAGAGACAATCTGAAACTAAGCTGGCAAATTTTGAATTAGTTTTTAATAGCCTTCGAATAGAAGCAGAGAAAGTATTGCATTCATTAAAGGATAGCAGTGTCGTTTGTAAACAATACTCCAAAGTGGAGATGAGAATAGTATTAAAAATATATATTAGTTGTTTATCTGTGAGTGGTTTTGATTTGAGAATAGTAATAAAAGAGAAGATGGTATCTTTGGTTTGGTTTTTAACAAAGGATGATGAATTAAATATATTAATCCAAACACTGAGGAAACGAACTGATCCTAATACTGATATAATAGGGATATAGGATAATACAAATTTTAACTAAATGGGGTCAGAAGAAAAAAGAGTATTAGTAAGTAGTCTGAATTTATTCTTGTTGATTGCAGCTCTTGTGAGAGAATAATATACATCAGCTATATCTAAAATATATTCAAGATCTTTTTTGGAGCTAGCAATCCAGTTCACATCATCCATATATCCAAGAGATGAAATATTAACAGAAAGAAAAGATAAGGTCATATTATTCAAATCTGAGATCCAACTGTGATTTAAATTGTATCCTTTTTTATAACAATTGATTTCACAAAGTAAAGGATCAAAAGTATATACGTTAAAAAAGGGGTGAAATCACCTCTTCTTGATCGATACTGATTCTTACATTGTAAAAGTCTAAGAGACCATCTTTAGTAAAAACGACATTATGTTAATTTGTGAAAAGGTTTAAGATACAAGTAATACAGTTTTCCAGTATTTTAATTCTTCTGAAAGCCAATTTTAAATATTGATATTGACTCTGTCATAAGCCTTAGAAAGATCCTGTAGGAGAATCCAAATTTCTTTTTATGTTCAACAGAGTCTTCAATAATCATATTTATGATCTTAATAGGGTTTTTAGTGGAACCGTTAGGTAATCTAATGAAATTATTACTTTTGAGTATATTGTGCTTGGTCATAATGCGAGATAAATGATTTGTGATAATTTTGACTATTGCTTTTCTAGGCGATTCTAACAGTATAATGGGTCTAGGTTTAGTAATGTCACAATCCCAACTCATAGGCTTGGGAATCAAATAAATGTGAGCAGACTTCTACTCTTAAGGAATATTATTCAAAGTAAAACACATTATGATAAGTTTCCATAAGAGAGATTGAACAATTGGGCCTAGTTGTTTAATCATTTTGTTATAAATACCCAAAGGTCCTGAAGCTTTATCATTAGAAAGATGTAAAATAACTGTCATCTATTCTTCTAAGGTTAGGGTTGCATAATATTACTGTACTAAACTTCATCGATATCATCAATTGGAGTAAATTGCTTAATCCAATGGCCTGTGATAGGTGCAATAAGAGAAGAAGAAATAGCAAAATTTTGAAAATGATGATTAATATATTCCTTAATGAGCTTCGAGTCATTGATGAAGAGTTGGTAATTATTGACATTATTAATGAAGAGACGGTCTAAGATGACGGTTTTTTTTGAGTGGTCAAGAGCTGATTAAATCATTTTCTCAAGCGCAGATTCATATTGTAAACATTGTTGATTAATTTGATATTTAATTTTCAGTCTTATAAAAGATTCTTCTTCAATTCTAGCTAAAGTTTTGAGGTTGTGATATAGTTGAAGGAGAATGCGTTTGGTGTGCTAAATATTAGACGAATCAAGAATGTCAAGAAGTATTACAATAGGAAGTTTAGTATCCTTTACTATCAAGTAAACAGAGGAATAATCGTTAATCCATTCTTGTTCTATTGACTATGTTTTCGTTTTAATCCTTGATGCATAAAATTTAGGATGATCTTATTTAACTTCTTTATTTGTTCATAGTAGGTAACCACTTTCTTCAGTTTGGGTTTATTTTGGTTCACAAAAATCTATCAAACTGAAATAGTTTTAGTGGCAGTAATCATGATAGTATTTTTGAGCTGTTCCCATAAAAGGTTCATGCTTACCAATGAATTTATCCAGTTTTCTGAAAAATTGTTCCATTTGTAATTGTCTATAGATGAGAATATGAACTTTCTTCTTTTGTTATTAAGTCATCTAGTATTAGCTTCTTATTTAGGTTCAAAATTTGTGAAGATGGCTGTAACTATTCTAAGGTCAAATTTATATAAAAGTGGTTTTAAAATACCACAATGTAAGAAGTCAACCATAAAATTTGGTAAAACAAAAATACTATCTAGTCAATGAGAAGAACCAGAACGTATATTAGTATTATTACTAATATTGAGTGAAAAAAAGGTGGGTATAATATTATTATTGCTAATTTACTGAAGATCAGTAAGATTTCTGTGGAAGAAGCCTTCGATTAGTGAAAAACACTATCCTAGCAGTTTATTATTAGTTAGTTTTTGTTGATATAAATCTATATCAATACTAAATCTCACATAATGATAGTGTGGAAGTGATTCTTGAGACTGTTATCAACTAACTGAAGAATTTCTTTTTGAAGTATAAGTCTATTATGAGCCGATATCTTGTTCTGACAATTTGCATGAATATATATACTGAAGATATGCAGTTTGAGGTATTCTTTAATGAAAAGGTCAACATATATCTTAATGCAGAAGTGAAAGAGTGAATAATATATTTAGCCCATTTATTCGATATTAGAAGTCTAACTCCAGCATAAGGTTCATGTGGATCAGGTTTGTTTCAATAAGTATAATCTTCATCATTTTTATGTTTGTAGAAAATGGAACTGGTGTAGTGGGTTTCAGTTAAGCTGATAAAATCCAATCTGTTGAAGTGATAATATTCAAAAATTTGAGAGGATTTAATCAGATCAGTCTTTTCAGCTAAACTAAGAACATTATGTGTTGAGAATTTGATGACATCTTTATCTATAATTTTGCTAGCATTATTATCATCGATATGTATAATATCCATGTCTAGTTTCTTGATCATTTGGTTTCTTTGTGTGTAAAATGATAAAATTTGATTATTAAGAAAGGAGTCAACATCCATATTATTATCATAAATATTTAGGTTATCAGTATGAATATCCTTTATCTGAGATTCGTCTTGTATAATTATTATAAGCGTTGAGTAGTGATTTCATTATGATTAGAGAAATTTAAGAATTGAGCATCAAGTTTGGCTAGGTAGGTCTTGATGGAATCTAATTCTTGTGGTTTATTAAGTATAGTAGTCAAAAGATCACTATTGTTATTTGGAAAAGATGGATGAGACGAATCTTTGTTTTTTCTTTTTGAGATGATGTCATCAGAACCATTAGGAGCAGAGTGTGAAAATGAAGAGTATTGATCATCATGTATATTACCATCTGATCTGTAAGAGATTGACTTACGTCTGTTGTTTTTTTTGTTTAAATTGGAAGAATGACCTGGGGTGTTTAGTTGAATAGGGTTGTATGGTCTACTAAGGATTCTAGGTCAGCCATCCAATTTATATTTATTGTATAGAATTCGAGATGAACAAGCTCGATTAAAGATAGAAACTGTAATTAATATGTTGCAACTTTTAATGTTGCAACTTACATTGCAATTAGTTATAACCTATATATGTTGCAACTAATTTTAGCTTATATTGCAACATTTTGTAAATTTGAAATCAATTGCTATACCATCTTTAAGCTCGATGCATATCAGATTCATTTGAGAATGCAAAGTAAGCAATTATTATGAAAGTAACAAGAGCAAGCTTCATAAGGTCTCATTGATCTGAATACTTCTGCAGATGTAATTCTATTTGGAAAATCTTTGAAACCTGTAACAAAATTATTTCTTGCTTTGAGTTTGTCAATAGAAATATCAATGTGTGCACATCTCATGACTAGATCATTAATATTATGGCCCAAGCGAGATTTAATTGATAGGATTTAGTGAGTCTTTTGAAAGTAATAATTACATCATGAGAAGAATCATAACGATTTCTAAATTTATCTTCCAATATTTCTATAGGTCTATAATAAGATAAGGCTTTCTTTATATATTAGTGAGAAATTGTAGTAGGAACTGTTTTTAATCTATATATAGGCATAATAGGGTTGGAAGAGAGAGAAGTTTCATGATTCAAAATGTTAAATGGTATGTTGGAATGTGTTAATAGAATGTCATTAATTGCAGAAAGAAGAAGTTTTCTATTATTGAATTCAATAAAAATGTTGGCATTGCCGTTGTAAAATTTCCAATCAAGGTTAATGAATCCAGACTTATTTGAAAAGCAAGTATTAATCAAACTTAATTAATCAAATCTATTATTACCAGAAAGGATATTGGTAAGAACCGTTGCGATCACATGACTATTATTATTATTGGAAGAAATATGAAAAGTGTGGTTGATTGTATGATGTAGATTATTCTTATCTAGAATGTTTTGATGCATAATATTGTTAATATTATGCATGGATGCATTTGTGTTGATATTTAGTAAATTAGGAGCAGGTGTTTATTTATTATTATGTGATAAATTATTATTTGACGCATTTTTATTTTGATTATGCGATTATTTACATGTTTAATATGTAAACAGATCAGAAGTAATCAAAATATTAGTTGAAGAGTTAATAGTATTGTGAATTGAGGCAGAGAAAAGGTTAAGGAGTCTTTTGTGTGTGTTATGAGAGAAAGAATTCATATCATCATCTTCTAGTATATCTATGTCAGGAAAGGTAGTATCGGTGATAGAAATAATATTATCGTTCTCTAAAATATTATGCAATGTGTTATTTATGATGTCTTTAGTGACTTTTATAGCGAAGTCGTTTGTATCAGTTTTATGTATTGTTAATGTACTAGTACATGCTATTTGTTTAATAAAATTTTTGGGAATTCTATTTTTCTGGAAAAAATTTATTGTATTTGAAATTGAGTTTTCTGACAAGTCAAAAGATTTCCAGAATTTGAAAACCTAAAAATTTTGCTATGGTCACGTCTCTTTCAACGAGGTGTAAAGTAACATTATCGATAAGTTGTAAGAAAGTTTTTGTATCTTTAGCGAAAAAGTTACTATAAAATTCTAAAGTATTAGAAGTCATCGTTTTAGAAGTTATAAAAAGTGTTTTAATTTTATTTGTGTTTAGTTTGTATAATGAAAAAATTATTTTTTAAAGTTTTTAATATTTTTGAAAAAATGGTCTGAAAATTTCAGAAAAAAGTCTAGAGGATTCAAGGAATTGAATGGTAGTTGTTTTAGAGTAATATTAATCGAGATTGTACATCTTTTATTTTTTTATTTTTTCTATATATAAAAACCTGAGATCCTATTATAGGTTACATTATAATAGATCCTAATTCAACCCTTAGTCACAACAGATCATAATAATTGTTTACGGAATTTACCAGTTTGATTTTGAGAATGAATTTCATAGAATACGTGCAAATCATATACGTGGTAGATCTAAATTTGTAGAATATAGTGACCTCAGCTAGAGATAACCTGTAATAGAGTTAACTTAACCAATGGAAGACATTATCTGTAGTGGTTAATGTCACATTGTCTGCAATATAAAGCCCAATAGGATAGTATCTAATGATAGATGTTGTGTAATGGTTACTCAATTAGAAATTTATCATCTTAAAAGGGTGGATGGTAATGATTACAGGTAATTAATATTACATTATCTTCAGCCATGATATATCTATATGATGTGGTAAAGTTCACTTTCAGAAAAATCTTAATCCCTTGTTTCGATAAAGCTTGCTTTCAGAATGATTCTTTCAAGTTTCATAAAAGGATATGACATTAACTTTCTGTGACGTTTAAGTCTTATGTTGGGTAGAGACCAGGTTTGATTCCTGAGTTACTTTGACAATATAAATAATAAGTTACCATGATTGTTTACATCTATAAGATATAGTAGCTCTCACAGCATAAACTACATAAGGTTGCTTCATATCAAACCAAACTGTGTTATCAGATATGAAGAATTGTATCTCAATAGTATGATGCAAAGTATTACAGATGGTTTCATAGACCTTAGTTATAGTTAACACTCAATCCTCTAGTAAAGTTAGTATAAACTAACACTATAATGGAATGATCCCTCTATCCAGTAGTATGGCTGAATACTTAACATATCTGGTTGCTAAGTTGGTTCCTATAGAGGAACCAGCAGAGAGTTCTAATAGAATTTAACTATATTGGGCAGGATTCTGGATATATCAAACAGCTTTGAAATAGAGGCATGTGGTGATGATATTGTGATATATATTGTAAAACATACTAGTCTAAAAAGTTACTTCTAGAGTCTAAGAACATTTCTTTTAGATTACCAGTATGCAGATTGTAGGTATTATACTAGTTCCAAATCCTGAACAAAATCCAATAAAAAAAACATTTGAATTCTCAAAACTAGATGAATCTAATAAGCCAATAAATATTTATTTCAGATCATCCAATCACAAAATAATCATGATTGAATTATTATTGCAAAATGGTCAAAATTGACGTTATCATATCATATAATTATTATATAAAAATTTAAATAAAAAAATATTTAAAAAAAAAACAAAAAAACTCTCTCCCCTATTTTACAAAACCAAAATTTTTGTAAGAAAAATAAAAAATTTTAAAAGTTCATTTTTAACAAAAAATTAATTAATAAACCCAGTATAAAGAAAGTTTCTTTTGTTTTACCCCACCTTCTTCACTACGCGAGAGAGTTATGACGCGTAAAAGTGCTGCAAAACAACAAAAAATTAGTGACCCCAAGTTCGTTCCATACGTCGCTCCTAAAGCCTCAAAGGAAGCTGTTATTTTTACACCAGCTCCTTCGTCTTCTTCAACCTCAACTTCTGTCCCCACCAACTTAGATTTAGAAATTGTTCAAGAAGTTT